CAACAAAAACACTTTTTTTTAAAATCACTTTTTTAAATCCTAGAAAAAATGACCCTAAAAACATTATAGAAAAATCAACAAACCAGAACGATGAGATGATCACATTCTTCCTCAGATAAAAAACCCTTATATAGAAAAGCCCTGCAACCCATAATTCACAATAATTAATTAAATAAAATAAAAATAAAAACAACCCTATCATCTAAGATAAGAAAAAGTTCATACCTGGGTTCCCATGAAAGTTGAGTGACACGTGTTGGATCAAACTTCACTTTGTTTAATCTAAGCACCGATCCAGCCCTGAAATATAATCTCAAAATTCAAAATTTATATTAAAAAAATCACTTTTTTAATAATTAATTTAGACAGAGTGAAAGAAAAGTATATGTTTTTGTTGTTGTATTACGTTGTTGTCTTATGTTCATCATCTGAAGTTGTTGGCAATCGAATTGAAGAGACAGAGAGATCAAGAAAACAAAGAAAACAGAGAGAGATCAGAAGAAAATGGCGTGAACCCATTATTATGGATTGAAAAAGAGATTGAATCGAAAGAATTGGAGAAAAAGAAGAGTGATAATGGGAACAAAAAGAGGAGAGAGAAAATGTGAGTGGGTGAAAATGTGAGCTGTGCGTTTTTACTTAGTTGGGTTTGTCGTTTTGGGGAATTTCAACAAAAGTGACTCATTCACTTTGGTCTTCTTTTACACTCACTATTTTCTAATCTCACCACTATATATAGTTTTCTATTTTAATTAAATCATCAAATTATTTAATTAAATGGTTTGTAATTGAGTCTTTACTTTTATTACCCATCACTAATTAAGTCCTAGGTAGAGCTCACAAAGTAATTGTCCATAATAAAGAATTAGGTTGAGTCTCGGGTGAGTGTGGGTCTGGTTGGGACGAGTTAAGGATTGTCCTTACCCGGCCCTAAATGTTGGTTGAGTTATTTTTTTTGAACTCGGACTCGGCCCTAGACCCAAAGTTAACTCAACCATAAATATTCACAAGACCTTTAAACCCGAACTCGACTCTAGACCGACTAAATATAATGTATACTCATTTTAGATAAAGTCTTTTAAATATTATTTATTATTGTGAATGTGTAATTTGACATCTAAAATAATATATGTATATATATATTATTAAACATTTATATGTGATGAAAAAATTAGAGAACCGATGATACTTTCAATCAAAATGTATCATTACTCTCTACACATTTGAATAGAGACACATACAAATATCATGAGTGAGTGACTATAAGACGGATCGAGACATGTCATGTTTGGTTCCTATCTGGCCCTAAATATTGTATGGGTCTAATTTTTGGATCTGAACCGACCTTAGACACGATGAGACCCAACCTTATTTAAGTCTGATCATAATCGGGTCATACCGAATGAGATGGTTGGGGCATACCGGGTGAGCGGGTAGGACCGATTCCTACTCTTGAATCAATAGAATTATATACTAAAATAGGTTTGGGTTCATTTAGCTCGACCAAGAAATCGAGATTTGTTGGGTATGTAAATAAGATATTATGAATACTAGTGTGTCGACACGCGCATTATGAATACTAGTGTGTCGACACGCGCATTCTTATTTAAAGTTATGATTTATAATATGTGTCGTCTTATTTGTGGTTAGAAAAATCATAACTCTTTTATTTTGATTTTGATTACCAATTTATAATATGTGATAAATAAATAGTGTAAATGAATAAATCATAACCACACATATATAATTTATATAAAAATGGTGCATTGTTTAAAAATAACATAGAATATGCATTGAGTATAGATAAATATTGGGTTATATATGGTTTTTGGTAGAATTTATAAAATAAAGAAGGCAAAAATAGGCAACAATAAATTACACCATGCTGGGTGGTTAATTTGAGTTTTACCTTTATATATAGAGTAAATTACATTCACACCCCCTGAGTTTTAATGAAATTACACAAACCACCCCTCCATTTTTTGTCCTTACACCAACCACCCCTCCCTCATACACAAATCACCCCTAAATTTATACATACATTACACTGATTACCCATGCATGTTATAAAAGTGTAATATTTTAAATAAAAAACGTGTGATGAATGTAATTAAGTTAAACAAAATATTGTGTATTGTTTCTTTATTATTTTTGTGTCATTAAAAAATACATTAATAATTTCAAATAAATGTTTAAATAACTCTTATATTATTTTATAACGAGTCAAATAATGAAGATATATTGACTCTTATATTATTTGAATTTGTCTACACAATATACAATATTTTGTTTAATTAATTGCACACATAATACATTTTTTGTTTAAAATATTACACGTTTATATCATGCAGGGGTAGTCAGTGTAACATATGTACAAAATTAGGGGTGGTTTGTGTAAGGACAAAAAAGTGAGGGGTGGTTTGTGTAATTTCACTAAAACTCAGGGGGTGTGAGTGGAATTTACTCTTATATATAGTATAGAAATATAAATATAAATATATAGTATAGATAAATATATAAGTATATACTATATAATAATGTCATGATGATGAAATGAAATATATGATTTTTTTGTAAAAATAAAAAAATGGTAAGGGTAAAATTGGAAACCATAAATTACACCATAATGAGGTGGTTATTTTAAGTTTTGCCTTTATTAGTATAATATATAATATATAATATATATATATATTATTAGTATATATATAATATATATATATATATATAAAATATATAAATATATAATATATATAATATATATAATATAATAATATAATAATATAATATATATAATATATATATATATATATAGATGAGACTGGATTATATGAAAGCATTAGTCACAAAAGGTTATATGATTCAAGGATATTATGAACATGGGACTAGATTACATGAAAGCATTAATCACAAAAGGTTACATGAAAAACATTAGAACATAAACATTCATGTTACATGATTCAAAAAATAAATGTATTTTGTTTGTAAATTTACATTTCAAACTTAAATCAAGCTAAAATTTGGTCTATGAAAAACAAAATCAATTAAATCATCCAAATAGCTAAACTATTATAGAAATTTGTCATTGACTATTTTAAAGATGTGAAATTTTAAGAATTAAATTAGCACTTGTGATTTTTTTAATATTACTCATTTTATAGTTAATATTAAAATATTAATATAATATATATGTTTCCTTTAAATTTAACAATGATAAAGAAGAAGATGCTAATTCATGGGAAGAAAATTAAAACATCAATTGATTAGTGTTGGCTTAAGTTACTCATATTTAACTTATGATATTATAAGTTATAAAAAACTAATCAAATAAAACTAATGAATTAATTTGAATCAAATAAAATATTGATTAACTTAATTTGAAAAATAAATTACATGATTCCTCGTGATATTATTAATAATCAAAAATATCATTTATCATATATGATTAACAATATATATATATATATATCATTTTTTATGTCAAATTATATATTCATAATAATAACAAAGTTTTGGTCTAATAATGTAATATCACAATTGATTCTCATGTATCATAATAGATTAAAGTTTAAATATTCGATTTTATATGCGACATTTGTTAAAAAAATACAAACATACCTCCTGAAATTGATTAGCTTCTTACACTGATTATAGCAAGTTGAAAAAGTGAAAGGTTCTGATTTGTTGTCACTAGTCAATTGTAATTTGTAGCAAGTTGAAAAGAAACATATTTCTTCCTTTCTTTTCTAGTGAGTTAAGATTCAATTTTCTCACCCATTTTTTTAACTATATCAATTTGGTCCATAACAAATTAAAATAATCCAATTAGATCATCAAAATAGTGATTGTACTATTTTATACAATTTTATTTGACAAACATTTAAAATTTTAAGGATTAAATTAACAATATGTGATTTTTTTTTGAATCTCACCAATTTTATAGTTAATATTAAAATAATATAAATTTGTTTCCTTTAATTTTAACAACAATAAAAAAGGTAATACCAATTGATGAGAAGCAAATTAAAACAAAAATTATTCGGTGTTTGACTTATCAAATTCCAAGTTATCTTGCAAACTTATGAAAAAAAAAACTAACCAAATAAAACTAATGGCTTAAGTTGAATCAAATAAATTATGGATTAACTTAAATATTATATAATTATTATGAGTGTAACATTCATGGATTTAAACAAATATAAATATTTATTAGTTTGATTACTTTTTGACATTGACCAGAGTAAACAATAATTATATATATATATATATAAACGATGAATAATACAATAATAATATATAAATTAGAGTAAATTATATTGATATGTTAAATTTTGATGAAATTACATAAATCATCATTCCATTTCTTACACATACAAACATCCTTAATTTGTAAACATACATTACACTAATAACCCATACATGAGAAACAAGTGAGATTTTTTAAATAAAAAAATGATAAATGTAATTAAGTTCAACATGATATATTGTGTAAACAAATCTAATAGTATATGAGTCAATACATTTTAATTATTTTTGTTCCTTATAATAAAAATGTATTGATTTATATATTATTTAGATTTATCTACATAATATATCATATTTTGTTTAACTTAATTGCATTTATCATTATTTTGTATTTAAAAAATCACATTTATTTCTCACATGATTAATAAAATATATGTATTTTTTATAACTGTTATAAATAAAGAATTAATATATAAACTGATGTGAATACAAATTATGAGTAATACATTGATGGATTTGTTAGGCTGAATCCGGTAAAGAAAGAATGACGTGAATATGGGCCTAATTGATATGATTCCGGCCCATTACCCATTTTATTATCCTTCAATATTATTAGGGTTTCAACATTACGCCGACCAAACATCCTTATAAATTGCCTCTACCAAACATCCTCATTCCACCGATCTTTCTTATTTTCATTTCAATGTTTCATTTTGTTTTTGTTTACACTTTCATTATGTGATTTTCTCTTTCTCTATATTTCAAGTGATGAGAAAAAAATAACTGCAACAATATGATTGGAATTCCATTCCAATGATTCTTCTGTATTTAAGTCTCTGATGATCCTTTCATATATTTCTAGATAAGTTTCTTTATTCTCTTCACATGTTTTCTACCTTATTTTTATGTTTATGTGAAAAACTAAGTTTATAAGAGATATGATGAATTTTTCATTGGTCCGTGTTTCTGATTAACCGTGACCGAAAACCTTTTTCCAATTTCTGATCTCTTTTTATAATTTTGATTCTGCTTTGATGATTTAAGAACAAATTCACATGTCAGACTTCAGAGATTTTAAAAAATCAATGAGAATGACAATTCTAAATTCTGAGCAGAATTTGATTTAATTTTATTAATAATTTTATGGAAAATAGACGGGAGATTCATGATCTAGGATCTCAAGCTATATATATGTGGGAGCAAACTATTCTATGTTTGTATATTTCTCAAGTAACCGTCTTATATCAATGCTTTTTGGTGTTGACGGCGCCACCGTCACTGGTGGCATCTCCGCCGTTAGCTGTCTCATATTCCATTGCCTTGTGGAGTGGCGTCGCTGCATTTACCATTTGGGACTGGCCATGAGACTAACATTCCATTCCATTTAGGTTTCACTATTTATTATTTTACTATTTTATTTTATATTTAATAAGTAAAAAGAAGAATATATTATATTTAATTGGTTCGGTTACACTCTTGTAGACAATGAACACATATATTGTAATGCTACATTTCCAACGAAAAGGATTGTATTTGGACACTATCTGTAGACAATGAACAATAACTCATGATCGATCATAAACTGTCATTATCCACTTTTTCACTAAATCAAATGAGTATCGGCAATATTTAAAGATTTTAAATTATTATATTTTATAATAATTAATATATAAAATAATTATTACATTACTAATGTAATATACAATTTTGATATCTAAAATACTGTAATGTACAATTACATTTTGATATCTAAAATACGTCATAAAATAATAAATAAAAATAATAATATATATTTATAAAATATTTAATTAAAAAATAAATTTATAAATACATGGATACTCGTACGTAAGATAAGTATGATGAATATTTTTTATGTGAGTTATCATTTTCAAAACTAATTTTATGGCCAAACTTTATCTTGCTCTCACTAGGAGAGGAAGGATGGACGAGCACAAAATTTGTTCCCAGTCTCATTAAGGTATTTGCCATTGAACTATTTGCATCGGATTGAGTCGTGATTTGGTCAGATCGGGATCATGATTTGGTCAGATCGAGTCAAATTTGGATATTGAGGAAAAAAGTATACGGGACATTGGACAATGTTTTAAATTGAGGATGATGTGATTATAATATTGTTGTTTAAGTAATTGTTTAACAGTGTCATTGCATTCTGATACCAAATCAAATGTTGTGATTGTATTAGGCTACATCACAAATACTTCAAACTACATCAAGCCGCATTGAAATGTATTATACTATATTGAATTCAAAATTATTTATAAAATAATTTACACTGTAACAGAACCTATTGGGTCATAATGACCACAATTGTAACTATAATAATAACAATTGTAACTCGCAACTGTAATTCAAAATACTGGGGTTAAATTGAAGGAAGAATCTAGTTAGGAAAATTATTTTTACTGAGTTACAATGGAAGTATTTTTAAAATATCAATTAGTGATTTTGATAAGTTTAGTTTGTATACTAAACTAGCCAGTTCCAGTGTTGGAAAAATTTACCAATTTTCCCATTCTATGAATCAAGGGCTAATAGACAATCATGTTATGTGGCTCAATTTCTTGGTTTTGATATTTTTTAATTTTATGGATCAGTTGTTGTAATTCAAGGGTGGCCAACAACATTTATTTGCCATTTTGGCCTTTTGAATAGCTCAATTAATGTTTCAAGGAATGAGAAACATTTATGTAGAATTGTAGGATTGTTAGAAATATCTATATTAAGTTAAGTTAGTTTCATTTTATTTTAATTTATCTATAAATTATGTTTATTTTATTAGTTATTACTTGAATTTATCATTGTTAGTAACAAATTCTTTTTATATAATGAATTGTGTGGGCTAATCATTTTGATGGTGATTATACCATTGAGTTCTCTCATTTTGATAATGTTTTTATCCCATTGTTAAACTATGTTTGTGTTGATTTATTTTCCGATTAACGATTATTCTGATAGTAACTATGCACATGTTTTCTCTTTTTATCAACAATCATTCTAATGTTTCACTTTCTGAATGATGAATTTTGTCACCTGCGAATATTATTTTCATCCAAAGTGATCATTTTGTAGTGGTTACACCAAAAGATTTCGCAATTACAATTCATTCTTAATGATTTTGTGGAACAATATAATTAGTTTGATTATTTTCATTTTGAAAGGAATTATTTGTAAAAAAAATTAAAGCTTATTAAGCTTTTACATGAGGGAATGTGTTAAATATATTTGGATTAATGAAACATTATCTAAGGTTTAGTTATTTTCAATTTATTTGAATTTATTTTTGATTAAATCATACTTAACTTCACCAATCTTTTACCCTCTAAATCGTCTACATATTTCATCATCATTGCAACTTGGTTGATGTAGAATTACAAAATAAGAAAATGCCAAACATTTAAAAGAATGTTTATGTTAACATCAAATGGAGGATTAGCAATAAAAAATATTTGTTGGGAAATCACACTTACCACTTTTTAACATATTAAATACATATTTTCTTCAAGAAATAAATGTATGCCAGATTGATCAAATATTGGCCTAGCCACTAAAAAAAGGTTTAAGTGATAAGATATAGTTTAGTTAGCACTTGCAAAACTAGAAAATAACTTTACATGTGTCGCATGAAGTGCATACTCTTCCACAAAGTTAAATATACTACGTGAGCATTGGAAACTTCTCTCTATCATCAAGACGACCAACCATAGATAAAGTACTATGCTAGTAAGAATATGGATACCTAGACCTGTGTGTATCTGGACGCGCTATTTCTTTATAAATCTAAATATATATAACATTATAATTGTAATACCATGTTAATTAATGTTATAATATTATATTAATCCAGATAAAACATCTCACGTCAACCTTGGCAAAGACATGACATGGTAACTCGTCATGATTGAGTGAAGTATACTTGGCAATAGGAGAGACTTCTCACAACAAAGAAATTACACTCTAATACTCTATCTTTATCTTCTCTTTACATATATTCACTTGAGTTAAGTGTCAAATTATATTTTCAATTACCCTCTTAAGATGGTTCAAGATTAAACAACAAATTTAAGCCTTTGACCTATCATCTCCATAGTAGAGAACATGTGTATTGCCAAGTATTAACACAGTCCTCACAATTTGGGTTGTTCTACTCGTGCCTACGTAATATCCTCCTAACTTAGGATATGTATAGGCATATATGTTTATGAAAATGACATGAAATATCATATTGAGTCCACCCTACTTAATATTTTATTGCAAATAAAAGAATAAAAGTGTCATAATATTACATTTGATTTGTATTAAATGTTGGTAATTAGTATGATAAACGATAATAATAAAGAAACTTGTGGAGAATCTATTCAAACTTATGAGTATATTTTATTGCTTTCAATAATTTTGTTGAGAAAAAACTAATCAAAATAAGTTGTTTTTAGCTTCTTTTTTATATTGAGTAAGCATTTAACGAAGATGGTTAGCCATAACACTCTTACTTTTAATGTTCTAAAGAAGCATGCTATAAATAGATTAAAAAAATGGGTTCTTTATTCTGGTTTGTGATATCAATGAGCATTATTCATATTCTAATTATAAATAATAACAATCCATAAACATTATTATTAAAGAATGAATTCAATAGTTTAAACTTATTCTAACCGTATAAAACTTACTCGACAACTTAACTATTAATTTTAGGAAAATCTAATAATTTAGATTTACTCAGTAATTTAAATCATTGAATTTTCCTAAAGTTAATGGGTAAAGGAGTAAGTGGATCTCCTTACTCCAAGAGTAAGTGACCCCTCGTTTGTTATTAATAATACCTTATAAAATTGGGGAGAATAAAATTGATTTGTATTAGATTTTATTTAAAGAATGCCAATCATTAACCTTAATTGTTAAATAACAAATTGATATGCGTTAGATATTATTATATAATTAAACCAAATTGCAATAATTTCTTGTTTGGACTAGATAATTTTTTATCACAAAATCTTATCCCAACCCCTATGATAAGCATTCTACTGAAAAAATATCAATCTTAAACTATTGCTTAGAGAATATCTTTAAAAAATTAAAAAAACTGTTCAGATAAGCTATCAACAAAATGAAATATCCAAGTTTTGATACTGATTATCTAATTGAAGCTGTAAACTTCTATTCTATCTAAAAATCACATCTTATTTCTAACATAAAATAAAGAAATTTTGTAAATATTTTTTCCTTTTGTGACTAAAATATAATTTTTATGTTTTAATTTAGTCATAAAATAAATTGAGTGTCAATTTAGCATAATTATAAAAACTGGTTCGTGCCGGCCAGTTCAACTGGTAAATCAGTCATAATATCAGTATGATACAATAATTATACCGATAATGCAATTATACCAGTCAAAACTAATCATACCGGTCGTTTTTTATTTAAATTAATTTTTTTAATGAAAATAAAAATAATTATTATTTTTATTGCTTTTTCAATATTAATATTAATATATTATATATATGTATCTAAATTCACCATTATACGATTTAATTAGTAAAGCACCGGTTGAATCACTGTACCACTATACTGATACTCCTACTAGTTTGGTGACCGATACGGTATTACTAACAATACAATTTACTCATTTATTTTCTTTTTAAATTTTATTTTAGTCTTATAATAAATAAAGTGTCAATTTAATCTTCTATCTTTACAATGGTTACAAATTTCACAATTCTATCCTAATATACCTACTTCCTCATTACTCATTTTCCATATTTGAAATATGCAATTTAAATTTTTAAATGAATTTTAAGATAATTAAGTTTTATTTTGTTAGAGAATCACGGAAAATTAAGATAAATGATTAAATGCAAGTAAAAAAAAAACCTATCACTACCTAACACTATAAGTATAAATATTCTTTATATTTTTTTCATTCTGAATACTTTGAATTACTTTCTTCTTTCAACTATGGCAAACCAACCTGAATCTTCAGATTCGTATGTTTTTTTCTTCTTCTCACAATTCATAATCTTTCTCTTCTCATGTTTAATTTTTGATTTTATTTAATCTGATTCTGCTTTTAATTTTAATCTTTTTCAGTAAGAAAAAGGATTTC